ATAGTGAGTAAGAAATTTATACCTTTCTCCGTAAGCGGTAAAAACGAAGAGGTCGTAGGAAGAGCGTTGAAAGTGCAAACGTAACCGCTCAAGCGTCCGGTCTCCAACTTTGACACAAGAACAACGCCGGAGTCTACCACAATCTTTATGCTAGTAAAGATTATAGTAGTATAAAATATAAAGATTAAAATTGGGATAATAATAATCTTGTATATTTCTATAGAAAATATTTCTAATAATACTTAGAAAATATTATAGATATTTTCTATACCCAAAATGATATTATTGGAACCCCAAATAATCACTTTCTCTCTCTAGAAATGAAGTGGCCGAAAAATTACACTTGCATAAATCAAGATGATGATCTTCACATCTATATAAAAAAATTTGTTCAAAGTGCCGTGTAATCAATTAAGTAGAAAACAAAACATTACAAAGTTATTAATCAAACTTTGTCATTTAGCTAAAGGATAAAAATAATAAAACTATGTCAAAGATTGATTTTTGATCCTTTAAATCACTATGGCCGAATGTTTGATTGTGAGAAGGATTTTCAAAATTCTTTTCCACTCAAATGTTCAAAGTGTATTTTATTTGACACCAAAAATTAATATAAAATTAATTTTAAATTAAATAAAAATACCCATATCATTTTTTAAACAAGTATGCAAATATACTTTAAATAGTTTATGTCAAAATAATTATTTTCATAATTAAAATGACAAACCAAAATAAAATATTCAACATAATATATATATATATATATATATATATATATATATATATATTTCGGTATTTATATATATAAATATATCACTGAATGTTTTACATATATATAATATTATATTCCAAAATATTTTATTTTACTATTTTACAAATATACAAATTACTTATTATCCCATTGTTTAATCCTACTCCTTAAATTGTTCAAAGTGTGTGACCCGTATAGGCACTTATAAAGCTGGCCACAGTATTGGCTCTGCACCAATACTATAAGCAATAAGCGGTATCTAGCAACACATTATTGCCCCCAGATTATAAGTTAAGACGTTTGCACCGTCAACACCTTTCCACGACTCAGACTCCGTGTAACTGTATCCCTTTGTCTCAATGTCTAAACTTAATGCAAGGGATTAATAAAATTCAACTTGTATCCATTAAGTCATTCACTGATTTATCAAGTCTAACTAATAGGAACAGACGTCATAAAAGCATCTCAGCATGGCCATGCAATTTCCTCAGTCATAACTTATCAGTGGGCCCCATAAGACATTAATCTCTTAAAAAGAGTAGTGACAAATCCTATGTACGTAATCTGCGTTTCTGAATACGCGCTTCGGCATACCCAAAACAAAGCCTGTATACCATCCTTATTTCATATGGCTTAGGACGATGCATCAAAGTATGCGGGTTCACATATGCAGAAAACGTAATACTTCAAGTCGAAGGATAGTTACACCCGTGGTCGCACTAAAGATGCTTAGAGGATGAACTAAAAGTTCAAGCAACATCTTTAGGATGGGTCAGTCCGGCATCCTATTATCTCTAGATAATATCTGCCCATGTGCGGATGAAAACACACCGTCATTGACTATGAGACTAAGTCAAACATCCAACACACACTAGTCTCACATGCATTAACGATATCCCACTCTCGTTAATAATCGACTATGGACATTCAGATAAATATTTATTTCAAGATGTTAGTCTCATCAGCAGAAAAAACACTATCTGATAAACATCTTTTAAATATAAATTTAGGAATATAATATTTGTTTACATTAGCATGAGATGTGTAAACATATTATATCTGCCTATACATGATAGAATAATGATAAACAGTTCGCCATCAGGGCACAACTCCAACAGATGGGTGGTATTGCGTGGTCTCTCTCAAGCGTCAGCTCAGTGCAGGACTTCTTTCCCTTCAAGTCTCTGCCTGCTCTACGGGTAGCTGGTTAGGGTTACACCCTATGGAAGACTATGTATAAATAAGGCATCTCACAAGCGAATTTAGGTGTGCAAAAATAGAGTGATCCCGTGCCAACAAGAGAGAAGAAACTCTGCGTTTTTCCATTCATATATCACAAAGAAGAGTGAGAGAACAGAGCCCATCATATACACATACGTGAGGTCTTAACGAGAAGATTAGCCATGGATCTTCTTTAAGGTTTGTTCAGCTGGTGAATCGTGGGAGGTTGAGCAAAGGTCAAGACATATCCTTATTGCAGAGCAACCAGAAGATGTAATAGGCCTGGAGTGACACAAATAGAGTTTGGTGTCTGATCACGTAAGTAGACAAATCTATTTATTAGAAGGATCTATTGAGATTGATTGTGTAATTCTTATGTTGATATAGTGGAAAAGCTATTACACGGATGTGGGCCTCGCAGACGTAGGAGAGTTAGCTCCGAACTGCGTAAACAAATCTCTGTGTCTTTATTTGCTTTTGGTGTGCGTTTGGACTGGTGTTAGAAAAGGTGTTATAGCATTCTGTGAAGTCTGGCAGTTGAGCTACAACGCAATTTCCAACAACATCTGTTTGTGTTAAGTGTGAGTTTATCTAGTTTACACTAGAAGAAAAAGGACTTTTAGTTACGGATCAATAATGATAAACAGTTCGCCATCAGGGCACAACTCCAACAATCTCCCGCTTGCACTATGGCCAATTTGGCATCGGTCGAATGCCCATGGACCTAGTGTGACCCTCATGCTTTAGCTTTCCTAAAGGCTTGGTCAAGGGATCGGCTATGTTGTCGTCAGTATCTACTTTGCAAATCATCACATCTCCTCTATCTACGATTTCTCATATGATGTGATAGCGTCGTACAATGTGTTTGGTTTTCTGGTGAGATCGCGGTTCCTTTGCCTGTGCAATGGCCCCAGTGTTGTCGCAAAACAATGAGATAGGGTCATTAATACTAGGAACCACTCCAAGTTCAGTAATGAACTTCTTGATCCAAACAGCTTCCTTAGCTGCCTCGGTGACAACTATGTACTCAGCCTCTGTTGTCGAATCGGCAGTTGTATCCTCCTTGAAGCTCTTCCAGCTAAAAACTCCGCCATTCAGGCAAAACAAATATCCTGCTTGTGATTTTGAATTGTCTCTGTCAGTTTGGAAGCTAGCATCAGTGTAACCGACCACCTTTAGCTCTTCCTCACCACCGTATACCAGGAATGCATCCTTAGTATTGCGAAGATACTTGAGGATGTTCTTGACCGCTGTCCAGTGTGCTTCTCCTGGACTTCCCTGGTATCTGCTGGTCACGCTTAAAGCGAATGAGACATCAGGTCTAGTACATATCATGGCGTACATGATGGATCCAATCGCAGA